TGTGTGTGTGTTTGTGTATGTAAGTTCTCCGTGTGTGTGTGAGTGTGTGAGTGTGTACTGTGAGTGTGAGTGTGAGTGTGTGAGTGAGTGTGTGTGTGTGTGTGAGTGTGTGTGTGTGTGTTTGTGTATGTAAGTTCTCCGTGTGTGTGTGTGTGTGTGAGTGTGTACTGTGAGTGTGAGTGTGTGAGTGAGTGTGTGTGTGTGTGTGAGTGTGTGTGTGTGTGTGAGTGTGTGTGTGTGTGTGTGTGTGTGTGTTGAGTGAGTGTGTGTGGAGTGTGTGTGGAGTGTGTGAGTGTGTGTGTGTGTGTGTGTGTGTGTGTGTTGTTTGTAAGTTCTCCGTGTGTGTGAGTGTGTGAGTGTGTACTGTGTGTGAGTGTGAGTGTGAGTGTGTGTGTGTGTGTGTGTGTGTGTGTGTGTGTATGTGCAGTGTGTGTGTGTGTGTGTATGCAGTGTGTGTGTGTATGTGTATGCAAGTGTGTGTGTGTGTGTATGCATGCTGTGTGTATTGTATGCAGTGTGTGTGTGTGCAGTGTATGCAGTGTGTGTATTGTATGCAGTGTGTGTATGTATGTATGCAGTGTGTGTGTGCAGTGTGTATGTAATGCAGTGTGTGTGTGTATGTATGCAGTGTATGCAGTGTGTGTGTGTATGCAGTGTGTGTGTGTGTATGCAGTGTGTGTATGTATGTATGCAGTGTGTGTGTGTGTGTATGCAGTGTATGCATTGTGTGTATGTATGTATGCAGTGTGTGTGTGTGTGTGTATGCAGTGTGTGTGTGTGTGTACTCGGTTTATAACCATGATATTACAATGTGAATGTTTTGTATTGTGTGTACTTGGTTTATAACCATGATATTACAATGTGAATGTTTTGTATTGTGTGGGGTTGATGCTGAATTGCAATTTTTTGTGGTTGTTGGTTGCAGAGAAGAGGAGCATAAACGGAAGGCTAAGGCTAAGGCTACTGCATTACAGGTGTCCTTTAATTTCCCTCTTCACATGCAATGCCTAGCAATGATAGCAATCCTCATACTAGTGTTCTTAGACACATGTTTATAGATGTATAAGAGTAGAACATTTTGAATATGATGCCTCGGGTTAATGATAACTTTTTTTTTTCAACGCCACCTGTATATTTGTTGCCTCGGGTTAATGATAACTTTTTTTTTCAACGCCACCTGTATATTTGTTGCCTCGGGTTAATGATAACTTTTTTTTTTCAACGCCACCTGTATATTTGTTGCCTCGGGTTAATGATAACTTTTTTTTTTCCAACGCCACCTGTATATTTGTTGCCTCGGGTTAATGATAACTTTTTTTTTTTCAACGCCACCTGTATATTTGTTGCATCGGGTTAATGATAACTTTTTTTTTTCCAAAACCACCCGTATATTTGATGCCTCGGATTGTGACTTCGCTAGTTACTTTGATCTAGTTCATTTCGTATCATATTCACTTCATTTCCATCACCCTTAATAACAGTAAATATTACATATATAATGATCTAGTTAATTTGTTTTTTGTTTTTTTTTTTTGTTTGGATAGATATGGATCGAAGGAAGCTTTTATTGATCTTATTGTTAGAGATGTCTTATTTGGAGACAATTTGCATTTGTACGATTCTTGTGTTGATGATGCTACGTGGCAAACAGAGACATGTTGAACGACCCACATTGACTAACCGTTCACTTATTAGACGAGAGATTAGTTTGTGTTATCTGAATGGTATAATAGGGAATACTGATACTGAATGTGTCAACGAATTGAGAATGGATAGAAAGACTTTTGGCATATTATGTGACTTACTTCGTCAAGATGGGAGGGTAAAAACTGATGGTTTGGTGTCTGTAGAGGAGCAGGTGTGTATGACTTTACAAATATTAGCACATCATACTAAGAATCGTAGTGTTGGCGGTAGATTTTATAGGTCGGGAGAGACTATAAGTAGGTATTTCAATAGCGTATTGCAAGGAATTTTGCGATTACAAGGTATCCTACTAAAAGTCCCTCAGCCTGTGCCTATTGATTCTACAGATCCTAGGTGGCGATGTTTTAAGGTATGATGAGAATTTTTTTTTCATTTTCCCTAATCTTTAACTCTTCATTCCCTTTGTATAAATTAACAAAAACTTTTTTTTTTTTTTTTTAAGAATTGCTTGGGAGCATTGGATGGAATACACATTGATGTGCATGTACCTGAAATTGACAAACCAAGATACCGAACAAGAAAGGGTTGAGTCGCAACTAATGTGTTAGGTGTGTGTTCAGGAGATATGCAGTTCATATATGTGTTTCCGGGGTGGGAGGGTTCCGCATCAGACTCTAGAGTGCTACATGATGCAATTACTAGGCCTAATGGTTTTAAGGTACCAGCGGGTAAAACTATTACTTAGTCTCAACTTTGTAAGTTAGGTCTAGTTCTGTTTGTCAACTACAAAACACTAATAAGGTTTGTTTTTTTTTTTTTCATTAGGTTATTATTACCTTGTAGATGGTGGTTATACAAATGGTGAAGGATTCCTTGCACCCTATAGAGGAATACCTTATCATTTATCTGAATGGGAGGGACGAACACCTTCTAATAAGGAAGAATATTTTAACATGAAGCATTCTAAGGCAAGGAATGTAATTGAACGCTGTTTTGGCTTGCTAAAAGGAAGGTGGTCGATACTAAGAAGTCAATCTTTCTATCCGATAAGGACACAAGGTCGAATAATTACCGCTTGTTGCCTACTACACAATCTTATTAGGCAAGAGATGTCTATAGATCCAATGGAGAATTTGCCAATAATAGAAGATGGACAAAATACAGAAGAAGGTGAATATGTTGGTAGTGTTCAAACATCTGACCAGTGGACTGCAATGAGGAATGACATAGCTCAGGAAATGTATAATGAGTGGAGAGCAATTAGGAACCAGCAACCGAACTAGCTATATGTGTTAATGATAACATTTTATTTTAGTATTCCTTTTTATCATGCATTTGTTAGATATTAGCACAATGATTGGATGGTATGCAAATTAATTGGATATTATGCAAGTTGATTGGATATTATGCAAATTGATTATTTGTATGGTATTTTCCTTCATTAAAATATTTTTTGTTTAGGTATGGATAACGAAAATATTTTGAATGCTACTCAAGAGCCAAAAGGAAGAAGGCGTAAATGGGAAGCATTTGAGGAAGAAGTATTACTAGGAGTTCTTGAGGATTTTGTTGCTCGGAAGCAACGGTGTGACACCGGTGCTTTCAAACAAGGTACTTTGGTTGAAATAGCAAAAGCTGTCAATGTTTTATGTCCTCATTCAAATATAAAGGCAAATCCACATATTGAGTCCAAGTTGAAGAAATGGAAAAAAAACATATAGTATGGTCGTTGACATGATAAACACAAGTGGATTTGCATGGAATGATGTCAAAAAGTGCGTTGAAGTTGACAGTGATGACGCATGGCAAACTTATGTGCAGGTTCATATCCTATTTTATTTATACATTAGTTATATTCTTGCTGCTATATTTGTTACGCATGCTAAATTTTAGTTTTGCTATGTTGATATAATCTTAGAGAAATAAAGAAGCCGATGGATGGAGAAGCAAACATTTTCCACTGTTTGATAGATTTGCATATATATTTGGAAAAGATCGGGCTACGGGTAATGTAGCCGAAACCCCTGCTCAAATGGTGGAGGAACAAAGTCATGATCATGTTGGTGAAAGTGATATTGGAGGTGAAAATTTTGTTTCTTCAATGAACCAACAAAGCCAACAAAGCCAACAAAGCACCCCATCTGAAAATAGCCAAAGAAAGAGGAAAAGAGCTGTGGGAAGTTCAAGTGATGGAACCGAGGCAATTATCAGTGGACTGAAAGATTTTTATGTTGAAAGTGGGAAGAGGATGCAAATGGTAACTGAAGCTTTAGTTCAAGGTACTGCAGATCATATTGACATAGCTAATGAACTTGAAGCAATGGGTCTCTCTCCTATGGATCAAATTGATGCATTGTCTCTTATTTTGGATAAACCAAAAAATGTGGGAGTGTTCAGGGCAATCAAACCGGAACTCAAGAAAGTGTTCGTCCAAAGGCTTTTAAGCGACAACGCAAGCGGATGAGGATTTTGGCTAATGTTAACATGGATGTATTTTATTAATGTTAACATGGATGTATTTTATTAATCATACAATCTTATGTTATGGCTTATAACTTAGCTTTGCACTAGTATTTTGGCTTATGTTAACTAGCCATTTTGTAAATTATGGAGATCTATTTTGGCTAATGTTAACTAATGTTAACTAGGATTTTCTAAATTATGGAGATCTTCTTATGTACTTGTATTTGTTGAAATTGCATGTATTGAGCACTATTATTTTTCTTCTGTTGGGTGATAGAGTTTAAACCAAGCTACATTTGCAAATTAAACCCAATTCTATTAGCAGGTAATAGAAACAAAACAATTGTCAATTTTTTTTAAGATTCATAATATACATGGCAAAAATATGCTCCAATTAACCCATATCATGAGATTTGTAGCATTACTTTATTACACAATGGCAAAAATTTGTAGTCCTAGTCTAAGCAAACACAAATCTGGTGAACAGTACTGTTTTTCTTATCCTGCTTCTTAGTCCGACATTACACCAAACGCTTCACTAAGTTAGTCCAGCTTAGTCCAGTCTAAGCCAGTCCAGCTTAGTCCCGGCAGCTAGTCCAGTCCGAGACAGTCCGGCGCAACAAACGCACCCTAAAAGCCCAAGCAGAATCGCTAAACAAAGAAAGATATCAACCCAAGGGGCTTACACAAACGGTCGGAGTTTTAGTAACTCCGGAAATTATCTATATACTAAAACCCGGTGAAAAAATACTGTTCACGAGCAGTGTATTAGCGAAAATAGCCCTCACCTGCTACCTATTCTCAGCTTATTTTTTTGTGTTGAACAGTTAATTTACGATTTTGACCCTCCTATACACGTGTTGCTCATCGTGGACGGGGAGAAGGATGGAACCATATTCTTCCATTTGCTTCCGGGCTCTTCCATTTGGTCTCATTTGCTTCCAAGAGAATCTTTCGACCTCTCTCTTAGAACCACGAAACATCCTCCTCTCTTCAACAGCATCTCCTTCCTCCTCCAATGGACAACATCTCCCCTCCAGGCTCCTCCCTCATTCCTTCTCCTCCGTTGGACAACATCTCCTCCACTCTTTCTCTGGGTATTTATTTCATCTCTATTTTCCCTCATATCCCTTCTTTTCCTTCAATTTTTTTTAGTAGATCTCACGTAAGCGTTTTTATGTTTCTTTGTTTGTCTATATCATTTTTTTTGTTTTACTGTGTTTGGATATTAATCAATTGAATTGCTCCAACTAATTTAAAAATATAAATTTGGATATCCTAATGGGTTTTCTGTGCAAATTTCGTTTTAGTTATGATAAGGTGTTTATGGATTTAGAATTTTATGTGTTCATGGATTTTGGAATTTTCAATATGATTTTCCAATTTCCCTTTGCAGCATTCTTTTTTTGGTTTCTGAAGTATCTATGTGATTTATGTTCGTTCCAAGACATCATGACTTCAGTAGACATCTGATCTCCATCTTTTCTTTGTTCATGCAGTTGAAAGATTAGGTGGACAAGAAAGTAAGTGTAGTACATATAAATCAAAGCTAGGTTTTGGGATTAATTTATGAGATTAGCCTAGAGTCCCCATTAGTTCTTATTTCCTAAATAATTGTGAATTAATGGTGCAGGGGCAACTCCGAAGTTGGTTCTTCAATTGATGAATTTTAAGGGTCTGGGTATAACTCATGTCAAGCGCCATCTTCAAGTAATTGATTTGATCCCATCAATTTCATGATCTATATATATTTTCTCTACTAATTGTACTATATATATAAGATTCAATACTTTACAACAACAACAACAACAAAGCCTTTTCCCACTAAGTGGGGTCGGCTATATGAATCCTAGAACGCCATTGCGCTCGGTTTTGTGTCAGGTCCTCCGTTAGATCCAAGTACTCTAAGCCTTTTCTTAGAGTCTCTTCCAAAGTTTTCCTAGGTCTTCCTCTACCCCTTCGGCCCTGAACCTCTGTCCTGTAGTCACATATTCGAACCGGAGCGTCAGTCGGCCTTCTTTGCACATGTCCAAATCACCGAAACCGATTTCTCTCATCTTTCCTTCAATTTCGGCTACTCCTACTTTACCTCGGATATCCTCATTCTCAATCTTATCCTTTCTCGTGTGCCCACACATCCCACGAAGCATCCTCATCTCTGCTACACCCATTTTGTGTACGTGTTGATGTTTCACCGCCCAACATTCTGTGCCATACAACATCGCTGGCCTTATTGCCGTCTTATAAAATTTTCCCTTGAGCTTCAGTGGCCTACGACGGTCACACAACATGCTGGATGCACTCTTACACTTCATCCATCCAGCTCGTATTCTATGGTTGAGATCTCCATCTAATTCTCCGTTCTCTTGTAATATAGATCCTAGGTAGCGAAAACGGTCGCTTTTTGTGATCTTCGCTAAATTGCTCCGGTCATTAGTGTGGATAAGTATATAAATGAATAGAGATAGGAAAGCAAACACAAGATGTACGTGGTTCACCCAGATTGGCTACGTCCACGGAATAGAAGAGTTCTCATTAATTGTGAAGGGTTTACACAAGTACATAGGTTCAAGCTCTCCTTTAGTGAGTACAAGTGAATGATTTAGTACAAATGACATTAGAGTACAAATGACATTAGGAAATATTGTGGGAGAATGATCTCGTAATCACGAAACTTCTAAGTATCAGAGTGTGGTATCATCTTGACTTGCCTTATCTGTCTCATAGGTAGATGTGGCAGCTTCTCTGGAAGTACTCTTCCTCCATCCAGGGGTGGTATCTTTAACTGGTGGAGATGCACAAGGTAATGTATCAATTTCACTTGAAGCTTACTTGTAGTTTCAGGCTTGGTCAAGCGCGATACAAACCATGTAGTAGGAGTCCCCCAAGTCGCCGAGCTAGGGGATTTGCTGAAAGAGGTGACAGACAAGGTAAGCAATCAGAGCTCCAGCTGATTGTTCACCTTCTCCCCATCTTGCAGCAGCATGAAGGATAAAGAGAAGAAAAATGAGAAGAGATGATATGGGATACTTTTGCTTTTGAAGAAGTAACTTTCCACAGGCTTATTCTTGAACTGAGCTGGAGGGTTTTCTGGTTTCCTCCAGAGTATAAGGCCGACTGAAGAATTTGAGAGTCAAAACAAGTCCATCAAATCTAGAGTACGTTCGGCCCTGCTGATATGGGATACTTTTGCTTTTGACAGAGTAATGGATGGATCGGCACGTGTGCTGTTACGCTTGTCTCCACATGCTTCCTTGTATCCTTCGCACTTGCCCTATCTGTTCCTCAAGCAGATGCGGTATCTTCCCTGGCAACATAAGATGTTGAAGATGAGTACTCGAGAGCAATGCCAGGTAAGTAATCAGGTAAGGGGTTCCAGGCTGTCAGTTCCTGGCTGGAAGCTTGATTTCAAGTGCTGACTGATTGCTCTCTTTCTCCTTGTCTTGCAGGTAAAAACAAGGCCAAAGGAAAAGACAGGGAAAAAGCATGATATGGGATACTCTTGCTTTTAACCCTGATGATATGAGATATTCTTGCTCTAGTATAGCTTTTTTGCAAAGGTATTATCGGAGGGAAAGAAAGCTGAATATTTCGAAAGGCTTCGTTGGGAGTGCCCTCTCAGATATGAGGAAGGGTTGAGCATTTTTGCAGGTCTGCCTGTCCGTTGGGGATGGAGGTCGACATATATAGGAGTCTCCCTAACAACAAGTAGTAATGCTATTCCTTTACCCTGCTTGGTCATAGCACGGTAGTGGGAGCTGCCAGCTTCACATGTTTTAACTCTGTCAGAGCACTTTGAAAAAGTGGTATGTGGTATCTGGCTCTCGAGATTCAGAGAACGATGCTTCTTCGATTTTTGAGAAAGCAATCATGGTGGGGGTCTGGCTCTCGAGATTCGGGGAGCAGTCTCTTCGATTTTTGAGAAAGTAATCATGTTGGGAGTCTGGCTCTCGAGATTCGGAAGGCAGTGCCTCTTCGATTTTGGAGTAAGCAATCTTGTTGGGAGTGTTTTCTCGGATGTGAGTAAAGGTTGGGCATGTTTGCTAGTCTACCTTGCCACGAAGCACGGAGGTTGACACACAGGGACTTTCCAATTATCCAGCAGTGGTACTGTTCCTTTACCCTTGTGGGTAATAATATGGTAGCTAGACCTTCAAAATTTATGTGTCTAAACTTTGTTAGTGCTGTTTCTTTGCTATTCTTTTACCTTTCTTGGTCAGAGTGATGTAGTGGGAGCTGCAAGCTTCACGTGCTCAACTTTGGCAGAGACTTTGACAAAGTTATCTGTGGTACCCATGAGCTATTGTTGCGTGTGGGAAGTGGGTGATTGAACAGTAAGATTCATGTGCTTTCTACTTCACCAGAAGTCTTCGACAGAATGCCCATAATTTCCGCAAAGCTAAGTGTGCGTGTGACAGGTGCTGACAAGGCTAGAAAAGAAGGTGCCTCTTCGATTTCTGAGATCGGCCCTCGTGGTCTCTGAGCAGCCCAGCTTTTGAGAAAGCGAGCGCCTCTTCGATTGATTCGGAGAACGATGCCTCTTTGATTTTTGAGAAAGCAATCATGCTGGGGGTCTGGCTCTCGAGATTCGGGGAGCAGTGTCTCTTCGATTTTTGAGAAAGTAATCATGTTGGGAGTCTGGCTCTCGAGATTCGGAGGGCGGTGCCTCTTCGATTTTGGAGCAAGCAATCTTGTTGGGAGTGTGTTTTCTCGAATGTGAGTAAAGGTTGGGCATGTTTGCTAGTCTACCTTGCCACGAAGCACAGAGGTTGACACACAGGGACTTTCCAATTATCCAGCAATGGTACTGTTCCTTTACCCTCTCTTCGATTTTTGAGAAAGTAGTCATGTTGGGAGTCTGGCTCTCGAGATTCGGAGGACGGTGCCTCTTCGATTTTGGAGCAAGCAATCTTATTGGGAGTGTTTTCTCGAATGTGAGTAAAGGTTGGGCATGTTTGCTAGTCTACCTTGCCACGAGGCACAGAGATTGACACACAGGGACTTTCCAATTATCCAACAGTGGTACTGTTCCTTTACCCTTGTGGGTAATAATATGGTAGCTAGACCTTCAAAATTTATGGGTCTAAACTTTGTTAGTGCTGTTTCTTTGCTATTCTTTTACCCTTCTTGGTCAGAGCGATGTAGTGAGAGCTGCAAGCTTCACGTGCTCAACTTTGGCAGAGAACTTTGGCAAAGTTATCTGTGGTACCCATGAGCTATTGCTGCGTGTGGGAAGTGGGTGATTGGACAGTAAGATTCATGTGTTTTCTACTTCCCCAGAAGTCTTCGACAGAATACCCATAATTTCCGCAAAGTTGAGTGTGCGTGTGACAGGTGCTGACAAGGCTGGAAAAGTAGGTGCCTCTTCGATTTCTGAGATCGGCCCTCGTGGTCTCTGAGGAGCCCATCTTTTGAGGAAGCGAGCGCCTCTTCGATTTCTGAGATCGGCTTTCGTGGTCTTTGAGCAGCCCAACTTTTGAGAAAGCAAAACACCTCTTCGATTTATGAGATCAACCCTCGTGGTCTCTAAGCAGCCCAGCTTTTTGAGAAAGCAAACGCCTCTTCGATTTCTGAGCAGGCGCCTCTTCGATGTCTGAAGCTCCGTCGAGTGCAGCTTTTTATAGGGGCTGGCATTAAGTTCCAAAGCACACTTGAATCTCCACCAGTAGAAGCTCCATTCTTGCACTTCTAAGATCTTGATTTGTCCGACCTCTTCTCTCTTCAATACCTTTGAAAATGTCTGGCCCCTCCGACCGTCGTTTTGACTTGAACCTTGTTGAAGAGGCAGCCCCGCCTTCTCTAGACAACATATGGCGCCCATCCTTCGTCTCCCCTACTGGTCCTCTTACCGTTGGGGATTCCGTGATGAAGAATGATATGACCGCTGCGGTGGTGGCCAGGAACCTTCTCACTCCCAAAGATAACAGACTACTTTCCAAACGGTCTGATGAGTTAGCTGTTAAGGATTCACTGGCTCTCAGTGTTCAGTGTGCAGGTTCTGTGTCTAATATGGCCCAACGCCTATTTGCTCGAACCCGCCAAGTTGAATCATTGGCGGCCGAAGTGATGAGTCTCAAACAGGAGATTAGAGGGCTCAAGCATGAGAATAAACAGTTGCACCGGCTCGCACATGACTATGCTACAAACATGAAGAGGAAGCTTGACCAGATGAAGGAAACTGATGGTCAGGTTTTACTTGATCATCAGAGATTTGTGGGTTTGTTCCAAAGGCATTTATTGCCTTCGTCTTCTGGGGCTGTACCGCGTAATGAAGCTCCAAATGATCAACCTCTGATGCCTCTTCCTTCTAGGGTTCTGTCCAGTACTGAGGCTCCGAATGATCCCCCTCCGATGCCTTCTCTTTCTGGGGCTCTACCGACTACTGAGACTTCTCCTAAGCAACCTTTGTGAAGGCTCCATCTTGTTTGTTTATTTTGACTCATGTATATGTACATATTTGTAGCTTATCGGGGATATCAATAAATAAGTTTTCCTTCATTTCAACGTATTGTGTTAAATACACCAAAGCCTTCTTCGCTAAGTTCTTTGAATTTTCTTTTGTTGAAGCTTGTATGTTGAAGCTTTCTGAGTGGAGCATGTAGGTTGGGGTAGTGTTCCCTTAATTTTTCGATATAAATTAAGGGTTCATCTCTGATTAATATTGTTCTACATTTTCTTCTTTGATTTCATCATCCGATGTATAGGAGCAAGAAGATGGAAAACCCCAATCGAGGTGAACAAATTAACAAATTGCACACAGGCTCATCTACTCTTCCAATAGTTAATACAAAAGTTAGGGTTTACATATTTATAAACTTGAGAGATCTTGCTTTCTTATTATATGACAGATCCAGCATTATAGCTCCAATCAAACGCATAGTGTCTATTTTAATTTTCTCAGTGTGAATTGGCCATTTCTCCTTTACAAAATGGTGCACCAAAATACTGGATAGTCGGAATGTGAAACCAATTTAACTCTCACTTAAAAGCATAGATAATTTCAGTGTTATACAGCTGCAAGTTATGTTTTACTTATTCTTTGAACCCTTTACTTCCCTTCTAAGCTTGAAAGCAGGAAACTAAGTCGCCAAGACCCTAGACTGTTCCAAGGGCTAGGAGGTCATCCTTGAGCAACCTGGCATGTGGATTTTAACAACATGGTTGGGCTTCTGAACCTCATTATATTTCCCTTTTTTTTTTCTTATATAGAATGCATCTATCTGCAGATTTAAACAAGTCATTTTCTGAATTTTCAGGGCATTGAAATTCAAGCTCAGGCGGTACCCCTATTTCAAAGAAAATGAGACCACTTGAAAATGGTAACCCAATTACTTTCTTTGTTGTTTTTCCTTAATGGGATATCGATTCCTTGCTTTTTAATGAATTTTTGGCTTACGTATTTTGAATTTTTGAGTTTCAAGGCACAGTTGCCCAGTATGTATAATTGTTTTCGTAATTTTATATTCAGCACCGCTTGCCAATTTATTGTATGAATACTTTCAATATCAATGTAAAACTAAAATATTCAATAAAGAACAAATAAGCATACTTCATCCTGTACTCTATATTAAATTATGTTTAGTCAAACCAATCTAAAGTATGATGCATTTAATGTTTTTAATTTCAAAACATTTTTATACACCAACATTATTATTCTAATCAAAAGTTGTCTCTGGTAAAGTTTTTTGCATGATGATATAGCAACGGTTATAGCTATAGCTAATAATAATATATGTATATGTCAACGATAGTATATACCACTGCATAAATATATCAGTATGTGAAGGTTAATGGCATACTTGATCCTTGCATGACATGTACATGAAATACTAAGTTTCATACCACTGCATAATATATACCTCAAATTCTGTGGCATGCAACCACCATTTTTAATTTGCATGATGTCATATTAGTTTCATTACATAAAAAGTTCCTGTTGATAAATTTGTGCTGACATCATGCTCTGCGTGATTTTGTTCACGCTTATCTCTTAAGGGTTGAAGTTGAGGAGCACCCAGAGATATTCGAGGTGCCTATTCGGTTTCTGTTGTGCCGTTTACTGCCTTTGCCAAGGTATGCTTATACGTGTTTTCTTGGTGGTTTTGATGTTGCCAGTGTGATTTTTTTAATAAGCATTATGTTGTTGGATATCAAATGGGAGAAAAAGGTTTTACATTTGGTTAATCAGGTTGTATGAATGTGGGGTATTCATGTGTTGCTACTGTTGAGTTGTTTTTGGTGGCATGTACGGTTTACAATTGTGTTAAGGGGGTATTATTATTGTTAATTATATGATAATATTGGTGGTATGATTTGTTTTTAATGAGAATTGAGTATTAATAGGCTCCGTTTATGATGCCAAACTCAACATTTGAGAGACGGAGGTAGAAGTTTAATTGGAACACTTTGTTAGTTTGTGTTACTAACAAAACAGTTGTGATACTAATCTAGAGCTACTTTCATATTGATTCATCATCATTGATAAGTTTTCTTTGGACCCTATAGAAATCATAATTAACTATTCACTAATCTGCTGCTTTATTGTCACTGACTCTTTAGATTGGGAAGCACCATATTGTTTCCAAATGATTAGTTTGATAGGTACTTAACAATTTCCCAAGGCATGAGGCACTTGCTTTTTTTTGTGTGTAAAAGACTAACACCATGCGTCCATGATAACTATTATAATTAAGAACCAATTTGTTTAAAAATACCTCAATTATTGAGAACGACATATATGTCCATGATAACTATTATAATTAAGAACCAATTTGTTTAAAAATACCTCAATTATTGAGAACGACATATATGTCCGATTAGTTTGATTGAAACTAACAATTGTTCAAATTGCAAAGAAAATGAAACATTCTCTCTCTCCTCTTTTTCTCTCCTATTGCATTTGGGTTTATCCCTGTTTCTTTTTTTGTTGATCTAATTTGGGGTGAAGTTGAATTTTGGTTGAACTAGAATGTGGGTTTAATTGTGTTTGGTTTTATTTGTCAATTCTATTTTCGTATGATTAGTGTGTGGTTTTTCAGACCTTTATGGCCATTTTGGGTCTGGCAAAGGTACTAATTTTACTCTTCATTCCACCACTTTCATTTGAATGCCTGGAAAAATTTGGAATTGAAAACATGATTGGGTTGTATTAGTTTTTGTGAAGATTACTTCTTGATTTGAGGTGTGTGAAAATATATTTTGATGATCAGGAGATGAGAGTACAAGTTTTCGCTTCTATCTGGACATTCAAGAACCACCAAATTGCATTATGTTTTCATCACCGAATTCAGGACAAGAAAGCTGTACATGCCTCATGTATTACGTATAATCACTTGCTTACATTTCTGTTTCTCATTTGTACCTAATTGGTTCAGATTTTTGTTTTTTTATAAATAGTAATATGTTCTATGACAAGCTGGCTCTGTTTCTGATTTCATTCTTAGTTTGGATTTATATATAAACCTGCAAGCATGCAGTTGATTAGTATATTTGGTGTTTTCCCTCTTAATGGACAAACTTGCAGTTACATAATATATAAGTTTGGTACGATCTGATTATTGTGTTTATCTCATTACTTCAACAGCACAAAAAATCTCTCCTAATTAAGCTAAGTAGTTAAGCGAAAGAAGCCCCCATACCTACTTTTCTTTATGTGTATATAATTTTGGTATAGACAATTTCTATTCCCGCAGCAACGCGCGGGTTTCAATTTCTAGTATCATCTACAAGTAAACCAACAATTGAAGGAGGAACGTCATCCAATATGATACACAGCCCAGGTGAAAAAAAAAAAAAAAAACTCAGGTCGTTCTATTTCCTGGAGGATCCTCTTTATCAGCATTCTGGGGATCTTCAAATCGTGTCAGTTTATCGTATATCATGCGATCAGTTTTCGTTAGGTACTATTTATATTTAATTTAAAATAAAATTATTTAAAATGATTTATGAACGCACAATATACGATGAACGTACATGATTTAAGGATCCCAGGATCTTCACAAAGAGGATCAAGAAAGGATCCTCATTCGTTCTATTTAGGGGCAGAACCTTTTTGTTCTATCTTTTCCTTTTTTTTTTAATCTTGGTTGAAATGTAGCACAATCATTCAAACTCTTTAATTTTTCATTTGATTAATTTTTACATAGTTGATGTTCAAATAAAATATAAACGATTGTAATTATCATGTAACATTGCAGAAGTAGTAGAAAAGCCAATGAGAAACCTCCCAAATTATTAACTTGCAAAGGTTTTTCTTCCACTTAAACTATTTAAATAGAAAATGAATTCAAATGTGGGGCCGACGAAGGAGATTATAAGTCCTACCGATCAAAAACTTTAAAATATAGGATACCTCGGAGCAAGCTAAAAAATTCCTGTTCTCTACAACTACGAGTGCATGGCACTCAACACTTTGAGAGCAACAGCTTCTTGTTCCGCCAAAGATATTGAGTCAGCAATGAACCCTAATTTATCCTTACTTTCTTTTATCTCACCATCATCATCATCACTGCCAAAATATATCTTTGACCTTTTGTGGGGTCGATTTGCGTATGCCTCTCCTTCTGAATCAGAAACATCCTCCTCCTTCTCGTATGTGTTTCCTCTCTTCCACTTCATCTTATTCTTCAAGCGTTTTTCACGACGGCGATTGTGGTATTGAGCCTTGTCATCCTTGTCCTCCTTCTTCAGACCTTCCCTGAGCTTCTTGTAATATTCGGTCTTCTTGTCTGCATAAAGAAAGAGACACATTTCAAGGCAACAATTTTTTCAGAAGAAGCAAGGTAAAACACCGTGTTTTTCCAATAGATGATGTTATTTGGGCACACGAAACTGATGCACTTATCGACACAATCTCTACTGCATACCTTGAATTTGATCAAGCGGAGCTCTGGCATTGTTGATATCAGCCAGCCTTGCTAGTGGCGGTAGTGAGTTGCCTTCGTCATCAAAGACAACTCTAGTTCCCACTGGTCTGTGGATATTGATCTTTAACTTCTTCTTCTTCTTCTTCGAAACCCGGGTTGACAATGTAGAAGGCGACCTATGAGGAACGGGATTATCATATATGAGCTCAAAGTTTGATGCATCCACAAATACTAAAGGTTGATGAAATTTTTAAGCGATCATTTGATAACCATTTCGTGACAATGGTAGCCCCTTTAAGCTAATAATCCGAGTTAAAACAAGTATAAAAACATAAAATGCAAGAAACTCACATAGTATGTTCGATTTTTCTTCCTTCCCAGTCTGCGGCATTTGCTGTATCATTTGTAAGAAAAGGATCTTTCTCCCTATCTTCTTCACTAGAATCACTGATATCAAGCTCCTCCTTAGGAAGCAGCTCAAATTTGTTAGTGTTACTCTGATTTTGCTGGGTTTGTTTTAGAATGCTGAACAGAAGCAAAGCAAAGATGGAAGATGAACCGAAATAGTTTTTTTTTTTCTTTTCTATTCTCTCTGCTGCAAAAGTATTGCAGAGGAATATTTTTGTACTACTCAGAAAAATGAGCACTCACACTGCTTTACATTTAACTGATGGCCTTAGCTTTAGGACCACACTAAACACTACTTTTAATCTTAGTCACTCACCAACCTAATTACATGGATCAAACACCACATGGCACTCATGGCCTTACATCATTTAACCTTACACTTGGCAGATATGCTCAAATGAATACACACATTAAAACTCATCTTATTTCTAATACTTAATCAGCTAGAGACTTATAATTCAACACTCCCCTTTAAGTCTTGAGCTGATTTCACTCCTAGCATGTTCCTGAGATAATTAAACCGATCTTTAGGCAGAGGTTTTGTGAAGATATCAGCAAGTTGTTCATTAGTTGGACAGTACACCAGATCAATGATACCATCCTTCAGTGCATCCTTGATGAAATGGTATCTTCTGTTAATGTGTTTGGTCTTTTGATGAAACACAGAGTTCTTGGTGATTGCAATTGCTGAGGTGTTGTCACAGTGCACTGGAGTGGCTTCGGTTTGAAATTCACCAAAGTCTTCAAGCACAAATCTCAACCAAATGGCTTGAGTAGTTGCTTCTGAAGCACTAATGTACTCTGCTTCTGCAGTGGAAAGAGCAACGCAATTTTGCTTCACAGATGCCCAAGAGAATACTCCACTGCCAAAGGAGAAAGCATAACCAGAAGTACTTTTACTGTCCTCAATTGATCCACTCCAGTCACTGTCACAGAACCCAATTAACATTGAGTTCTTACCCTTCACATATTCCAGACCATAATCAAGTGTACCCTTAATGTATCTTAGCACTCTTTTAGCAGTTCCAACATGCTTACTGGTAGGGCAGTGCATAAATCTGGCTAACAGACTGGATGCATACATAATATCAGGCCTGGTTGCAGTGAGATATAAGAGACTTCCCACCAAACTTCTGTATAACTCTTCACTTGCAGCACCACTTCCATCATTCGTGGTTAACTTCTCAGTTGCAACTAATGGAGTAAGCACAGGTTTGCACTCTTTTAGACCAAATTTGTCTAACAAAGAGCTTGCATATTTCTTTTGGTGGATGAAAATGCTTGAAGTGGTCTGAATTATTCCCATTCCAAGAAAATGATGTAGAAGGCCCAAATCAGTCATCTCATACTTTCGTTTCATGTCTTCCTTGAATTCTTCAAGCATTTGTTTGTTGCTCCCAGTATAAATTATGTCATCCACATAGATCGACACAATCAAAATGCCTTTCTCTTCTGTCTTGATGTACAGTGTTGGTTCACTTAAGCTTCTTGTGAAACCACATTGTGAGAAATAGGTATCTATTTCTCCATACCAGGCCCGTGGTGCCTGTTTTAGACCATACAAGGCTTTGTGAAGTTTGTATACCCTGTCTTCCTCCCCTTTAGCTACAAAACCATCAGGCTGCTCCACATAAACCTCCTCCTCTAGAACACCATTCAGAAAAGCCGATTTGACATCAAGTTGATAGAGTTTCCAACACTTTTGTGCAGCCAATGCTATAAGAGTTCTGATTGTATCTAAACGGGCAACAGGAGCAAAGGTCTCGTTGTAATCTATTCCTGGTTTCTGGGCATATCCCTTTGCAACAAGCCTTGCCTTGTTCTTTTGCACAGTTCCATCCAAGTTGAGCTTGGTTTTAAACACCCATTTTACTCCAATTATAGGCTTGTTACTTGGCCTGTCCACTAACTCCCAGGTTGCATTCTTTTCAATCATTGAAAGCTCATCCTTCATGGCATTCATCCAAGATTCATCCTTACTTGCATCTTCATATCTCTCTGGTTCCATAATGCACAGATTACATTTAGCAAGTACATCATCCAGCCTTCTCCATTTTAATGGAGTATGATCAATCACTTGTGAATCTCTTGTACTTTCACATGATCTACTAGAGGATTCAGTAGATTGGACTTGAGGAGTAACCGGTGCATTATCAGTATCACTTGTTATTTCTGTCAAACTTCTAGATGGCAAAGTATTAGAGGCTGGGGTCTCAACCTCTGTGAATGCACTGCTTGGTGACTCACCAGACTGCCCTTCATAATTGAACATAGACACATGTTTCTCTGTGCTTTCCTGCCAATTCCAACTTGAATCTTCATCAAACACAACGTCTCTTGACAGTATTACCCTTTTAGAAAGTGGATCAAAGACCCTATAACCTTTCTCACACCTTGCATAGCCAATAAAAACTCCCTTTAGACTCTTAGCTTCTAATTTGTGCCTTAATTCAGCTGGGATATGAACATAACAAACTGAGCCAAAAATCTTCAAATGTGCAATACCCGGTTTCCTTCCACTGTAAGCTTCAAAGGGGGTTATGTTATCAAGAGACCTGGTAGGACATCGATTCAGAATGTACACAGCAGTATGCACAGCTTCTGCCCACATATAATAGGGCATTCCTTTATCGTGTAGCATAGACTTAGCCATTTCAACCACGGTTCTGTTTTTCCTTTCCACCACTCCATTTTGCTGTGGAGTGTATGCAAGAGAAAGTTGCCTTTGAATGCCTTCTGTATCACAGAACTGATTGAACTCAGTAGACAAGAACTCCCATCCTCTGTCACTCCTCAGACATTTCACCCTTAAACCAGTTTGTAACTCAGTCATTGCTTTGAATTTCTTGAAACAGGAGAAGGCCTCAGATTTATATTTAAGAAAGTATACCCAGATCATTCGTGTTGCATCATCCACAAGCAGCATAAAGTATTTGTTTCCTCCAGTGGATTCATTTCTCATTGGTCCACATAGATCAACATGGATCAATTCGAGTGAAGCACCAGCTCTTTGTGCTTGACCACTAGGGAAACTTTCTCTGTGCTGTTTACCATATTGACAACCTTCACAGACTCTATCATTCTCTTCTAGATCTGGTAATCCATGAACCATATCTTTCCCCTTCAATTGTTTGATTCCACCAAAGTTCAGGTGGCCAAGTCTTCTGTGCCAAGTCCGGGCACAGTTAGCAAAACTGAGCTTCAACACAAGTTGCTTTTCAGGACTTAGAGATAGGGGATAGCATCTGTTTCCTCTCATCTTCACACTGATAATTTGACAT